CCGCTGTCTGCAAATAAAGCAGAATTCCTCAAGGTGTTGCTGGGAGTCGGACGGCAGCTGTACATTGCCGCTGTTGTCGCTCCCGTCGCTGACTCTGCAGATTTGTACCCGTCATTGTAATCCGGGTACGGAGGCGGCACAGCCTGCTTCACCTTCTAAATGTGGATTGGCGCAGTCGGCAGGATCAAGGCACGAGGTGAGAAAGTACGTCAGATCTGACGCGAGGGGATCAGTCTTGATTGTGACGCAAGCGGTCATCCAATCAGATGTAAGAATTAGTCCTCATGCTCATTAGATGTTTTTAATGCTGCTGTTAGGGGCGTCTGGCAGAAAAAACGCCCAATGCACCGAAACGCATGTAAACGCGCCTAAGCTTTAATGCTTGAGTGTCAATTCATTTCCATAAAAAAATATTATATGACTTCCTTCCACCTGGAGAGATTTAATTTGACTTCCTGTCCCCACTGAAAGGATCTAATATGACTTCCTGTCCCCACTGAAGGGATCTAACATGACTTCCTGTACCCACTGAAGGGATCTGACATGACTTCCTGTACCCACTGAAGGGATCTAATATGATTTCCTGTACCCACTGAAGGGATTTAACATGACTTCCTGTCCCCACTGAAGGGATCTGACATGACTTCCTGTACCCACTGAAGGGATCTGACATGACTTCCTGTACCCACTGAAGGGTATGACTTCCTGTATCCACTGAAGGGATCTAACATGACTTCCTGTACCCACTGAAGGGATCTATGACTTCCTGTCCCCACTGAAGGGATCTAATATGACTTCCTGTACCCACTGAAGGGATCTAACATAACTTCCTGCCCCACTGAAGGGATCTAATATGACTTCCTGTCCCCACTGAAGGGATCTAATATGACCTCCTGCCCCCACTGAAGGGATCTAATATGACTTCCTGTCCCCACTGAAGGGATCTGATATGACTTCCTGTCCCCACTGAAGGGATCTAATATGACCTCCTGCCAACACTGGGGATATTTAAAATGACTTCCTGTCCCTACTGGGGAACTCCTCCCCACTATGGGGGTTTAATAAAAATTCCTGTTCACACTGGGGAGGTTTAATATAACCTTCTGTCCTGCTGGAGAGATTTAACATGACTTCCTGCTCCCAAGTGGATGGATTTGAAATGACTTCTTGACCTCAAATGGAGGGATTAAAAATGACTTCCTGTCCCCAAATGGAGGGATTTAAAATTACTTCCTGCTCCCAAATGGATGGATTTGAAATGACTTCTTGACCTCAAATGGAGGGATTTAAAATGACTTCTTGACCCAATTTGGATGAATTTAAAATTACTTCCTGTCCCCAAATGGAGGGATTTAAAATGACTTCCTGATCCCAAATGGAGGGATTTAAAATGACTTCCTGTCCCCAGGTGGAGGCATTTAAAATTGCTTCCTGTCCCCAAATGGAGTTTAAAATTACTTCCTGTCCCCAAATGGAGGGATTTAAATGACTTCCTGTCCCCAAATGGAGGGATTTAAATTACTTCCTGTCCCCAAATGGAGGGATTTAAAATGACTTCCTGTTCCCGGGTGGAGGCATTTAAAATGACTTCCTGCTCCCAAGTGGATAAATTTGAAATAACTTCCTGTCCCCAAATGGAGGGATTTAAAATGACTTCCTGTCCCCAAATGGAGAGATTTGAAATGACTTCTTGACCCCATTTGGAGGGATTTAAAATGACTTCCTGTCCCCAGATAGATTGAATATGACTTCCTGTCCCCAGATAGATTGAATATGACTTCCTGTCCCCAGATAGATTGAATATGACTTCCTGTCCCCAGATGGAGAGATTTAATATGACTTCCTGCGCTCACTGTAGAGATTTACCATCACATCCCGTCCCAACCAGAAGTGAAGAGAAACCAGAAGTGAAGTAAAATCTCCCCGTGGAGACAGAGCAACTTTAAACCCGAGAGCGGTTCTTTGCTGTCCCCATTCTGTCCAAAACTCACCAAAAATTAAAAAAAATCGTAAAAATAAAAATTGGAATAATGTATTAAAGTGGCCCTGTCAGCGGAGCGCTGCGTGGCGTCCATCGCCGTCCCTCCTTGTATAATGGCTCCTTCTATTCCGTATTCCGTAGACTCAGATCGCAGATTTTGCGTCCTGTAAGCGATCACTCAGCTCCTTGAGGTCGGCGACGTTTCCTGGCCCGGTATCCACCCCCAAGGCCCCCCCCAGGGGACGGCCCCGCGTTCTTTTCCCGTAAGGTGTGTTTGTGTGGCAGTGTCGGCGCACAGCCTTCACAGGCGAGGGATTACAGTGAGTGCGGGGAGAGAGGTGAAGTGGATCGCCGACGTATCACACAGGAACACTCCGCTAATAAAAGGATCAAAGGCGCTCGTCGCGCGGCGGTAATGCCTGTGAAAAACGCTCGTTTTGAAAGGAAATTTGTGTCTCCTCCTCGGGGAAATCCTCTTGAAAGAGAATTTGCCGTGTTTAAAGCCTTCTGCTCTCCGGCGCGGGTCCCGGAGAAGCCTCCGCCGCTGCCTTGTCTCGCAGGGCTTTCACGCTAAAGGGGGACTCCGGCGTTCTCTTCGGTTTTGCACAATTTGCTGAAAACGCTGAATTTTCACTGCAGGCTGTGAGCTTCCCACAATGTGCATTAGGAGGGCCGTGGATAAGGGGGTACCATCAGTCCTCCTGTATGGGGCCCAGGCCAGCAGGGGGGGCCAGGCAGCTGGGTGATTCGGATGTGGGCAGGGAGGGTGATCGGCACAGTTGGGGGGCATATGCTGGAACCGATCCCCTGTATGGCTCTTCTCTGCAGCAGCTGAAACCCGGCTTCTCCTCCTCTCTCTCCTGCCGACTTTAAGCTGCTGCAGAGGGAGCCATACAGGGGATCGGTTCCAGTAATTGCCCCCCACCCATCACACTGGGGATTGGTTCCAGTAATTGCCCCCCACCCATCACACTGGGGATTGGTTCCAGTAATTGCCCCCCACCCATCACACTGGGGATTGGTTCCAGTAATTGCCCCCCACCCATCACACTGGGGATTGGTTCCAGTAATTGCCCCCCCCTCACACTGGGGATCGGTTCCAGTAATTGCCCCCACACCCATCACACTGGGGATTGGTTCCAGTAATTGCCCCCCACCCGTCACACTGGGGATTGGTTCCAGTAATTGCCCCCCACCCATCACACTGGGGATTGGATCCAGTAATTGCCCCCCACCCATCACACTGGGGATCGGTTCCAGTAATTGCCCCCCACCCATCACACTGGGGATCGGTTCCAGTAATTGCCCCCCACCCATCACACTGGGGATCGGTTCCAGTAATTGCCCCCCCACCCATCACACTGGGGATCGGTTCCAGTAATTGCCCCCCTCCCACCACACTCATCACAAAGGGGATCAGTTCCAGTAGTTGCCCCCCCTCCCACCACACTCATCACACAGGGGATTGGTTCCAGTAATTGCCCCCCTCCCACCACACCCATCACACAGGGGATCAGTTCCAGTAATTGCCCCCCCCCCTCCCACCACACCCATCACACAGGGGATCAGTTCCAGTAATTGCCCCCCCCCCCACCACACCCATCACACAGGGGATCAGTTCCAATAATTGGCCCCCCTCCCACCACACTCATCACACAGGGGATTGGTTCCAGTAATTGGCCCCCCTCCCTCCACACTCATCACACAGGGGATTGGTTCCAGTAATTGGCCCCCCTCCCACCACACTCATCACACAGGGGATTGGTTCCAGTAATTGCTCCCCCCGCCACACCCATCACACAGGGGATCGGTTCCAGTAATTGCCCCCCCCCCGCCCCGCCACACCCGATCACACAGGGGATCGGTACCAGTATTTGCTCCTCCTCCCACCACACCCATCACACAGGGGATCGGTTCCAGTAATTGCCCCCCACCCATCACACTCATCACACAGGGGATTGGTTCCAGTAATTGCCCCCCCTCCCACCACACTCATCACCCACCCTCTGCACCATACATTTCCCCCTGCTGCCCAGGCCCCCATGTGTGCCCCACCCCGCAGGGTGCACACAATAGGATCCTTCAGGATGGAGAGTGGGGGAAGGGTCCAGTAAATATGTCACAATTACCAGCGCCTCCCTTTCCTGAATGAACAGAATGAGTGATCGGTACTGATCACTGACTGTTCATTCAGAGCTGAAGCCTAGTAAACTTTTTTTTTTTTGGGGGGGGGGGTGGCTTTCATGTTGGCTGCATGGGGTCTCAGTGGTTTCTACCAGCAGCCCCGGCTGAGCCTGCCTCAGTTCCTGGCTGGAAGACGTCCAGCATCCTCTAGCACTTTCCTTCCCAGCCTGACCTGATATCAAAGCTGCATCAACTACCATCCCTCCGTCCGCAGAGAATGCCTATACTGGCCATCGAGTCGCTCTCATTGGACGCAGGAATGGGCGGGGCTTAGCCGTGAAGTCGAGGAAAGTCAGACCTTGGCAAAAGAGTGAAACTATATCCGAGAGGGGCACCCAGCCAGCTTTTCTGGCTAATGAAGGTAACAGCAGGCTTCCTGAGGACAGGTTCACTTTGGGGACTTAAAGGGAAGCCTTTGAGAAATAGGGAATGACCCCAAAGTGGGATCTGATTATATTTTGCCCTCTGTGGTTCCCCCCCCCCCCCATCACCATGCTAATGTCATTCTGAAAAAAAAAAAAAAACATCCAGTTTCATTACAAAGCTTATTTTGGACCCATTGTCACTGGGTCTCTGTGCTTCTCTATGCAATGCAGGCAGATCATGTCTGGTGGGAGGGGCCAGCAGAGTGTCGTACATAGCTTCCTGTCTCAGCACTCCCCTCAAAAGCCTTCAGCCCTGATGTAAGTAGTGGGCTGGCTCTTGGGAGGAGCTATGTAAATCAAAATGCCATGCCAGTTTAAAGGAGTGGGCGTTGCTAGGAAAAATGCGTTCGCATAGGTACCACCCACATGTGATACTGAGCCTTTTTTTATTATTGAGATAACCGGGATCCAATGAATAAAAGGGGCGGGCCAGTGACAGAAAGCCTGGGGAGATGATGCTGGACGTCCTCCAGCCAGGAAATGAGGCGGAGCTCTCTCTCTGATTGGCTGCAGGTTCTAATGCACATTGTGAGAAGCTCACAGTGTGCAGTGAAATCAGAGGAGGCCATTTCAGTCCAGGAGAGGAGCCGGTACACCTGTGCAGGACTGAAGGGGAGGAGCGGGGACACCTGTGCAAAACTGAAGGGGAGGAGCCGGTACACCTGTGCGAGACTGAAGGGGAGGAGCCAGTACACCTGTGCGAGACTGAAGGGAAGGAGCCGAGGAGCCGGTACACCTGTGCGAGACTGAAGGGGAGGAGGCGGTACACCTGTGCGAGACTGAAGGGGAGGAGCCGGTACACCTGTGCAAGACTGAAGGGGAGGAGCCGGTACACTTGTGCAAGACTGAAGGTCAGCCTTAAAAACTGTGCTACAAAGTTACCATGTACAGTCTGAGTGATCACGGGGGAAGAGGAGGGTGTGGGTGGAGCAAATAGTTCTGCCTTTGAGGAGCCAGCCAGGTCACCTCCTATACTTCCACCTTTGAGGAGCCAGCCAGGTCACCCCCTATAGTTCCACCTTTGAGGAGCCAGCCAGGTCACATCCTATAGTTCCGCCTTTGAGGAGCCAGCCAGGTCACCTCCTATAGTTCCGCCTTTGAGGAGCCAGCCAGGTCACCTCCTATAGTTCCGCCTTTGAGGAGCCAGTCAGGTCACCTCCTATAGTTCCGCCTTTGAGGAGCCAGTCAGGTCACCTCCTATAGTTCCGCCTTTGAGGAGCCAGCCAGGTCACCTCCTATAGTTCCGCCTTTGAGGAGCCAGTCAGGTCACCTCCTATAGTTCCACCTTTGAGGAGCCAGCCAGGTCACCTCCTATAGTTCCGCCTTTGAGGAGCCAGCCAGGTCACCTCCTATAGTTCCGCCTTTGAGGAGCCAGCCAGGTCACCTCCTATAGTTCCGCCTTTGAGGAGCCAGTAAGGTCACCTCCTATAGTTCCTCCTTTGAGGAGCCAGTCAGGTCACCTCCTATAGTTCCACCTTTGAGGAGCCAGCCAGGTCACCTCCTATAGTTCCGCCTTTGAGGAGCCAGCCAGGTCACCTCCTATAGTTCCGCCTTTGAGGAGCCAGCCAGGTCACTTCCTATGTTTCTATTCTGATTGGTTCCCTACCAATAAATATAAAGATATAAACATTATTACAATGTATCATTTCGGAGGTGCCGGGAAGGGGTTAATGGCGTCATTTAGTGTCTGCCGCACTGGAGCCGCGGCCTGCGACACCTTCTCCTTCTTCACGGCTGCGGGGGCAGTGACACCTTCTCCACGGCTGCGGGAAGAATCTTATCTGACCGCTGAGACGAGGTTATTATGTGAATATTCTCAATAAGACTTTCCTCTCCTTTCGCTGTCTCGGCGTCCTTGTTGTTTTTTTTTTTGCTGGTTGCGCGGAATACGTTGCGGCACAATCGGGTTTGCAGCCTGTAAACGGCGTGCTAGTCTGTGCCAGGCCTTTGAAATAGAATTTCACAGTCTCTGCGCCATCAAAGGGATTCGAGCCGCGAAAAAACTTTTTTTTTTTGATTAAATTCCGTAAATGGGACAAACCTTGATCTGCTGTTTTCTGAAGATTTAGTTATATTTAAAGGGGAAGCGCCGGGTATTCCGAGCATCGAGCTGCTGGAATTAGGACTGAGGATTGTATGTGCAATGAAAGTGTATGTAAACCCGTTGGATCGATTTCCAGCATAAAATAAAACTCTACTGCCCCATCAGTGGTGTCAGTGGGAAGAATAGTGCCCCATCAGTGGTGTCAGTGGGAGGAATAGTGTCCCATCATTGGTATCAGTGGGAGGAATAGTGCCCCATCATTGGTGTCAGTGGGAGGAATAGTGCCCCATCATTGGTATCAGTGGGAGGAATAGTGCCCCATCATTGGTGTCAGTGGGAGGAATAGTGCCCCATCATTGGTATCAGTGGGGGGAATAGTGCCCCATCAATGGTGTCAGTGGGAGGAATAGTGCCCCATCATTGGTATCAGTGGGAGGAATAGTGCCCCATCATGGTATCTGTGGGAGGAATAGTGTCCCATCATTGGTGTCAGTGGGAAGAATAGTGCCCCATCATTGGTATCAGTGGGAGGAATAGTGCCCCATCAATGGTATCAGTGGGAGGAATAGTGCCCCATCATTGGTGTCAGTGGGAGGAATAGTGCTCCATCATTGGTATCAGTGGGAGGAATAGTGCCCCATCATTGGTATCAGTGGGAGGAATAGTGTCCCATCATTGGTGTCAGTGGGAGGAATAGTGCCCCATCGTTGTATCAGTGGGAGGAATAGTGCCCCATCATTGGTGTCAGTAGGAGGAATAGTGCCCCATCATTGGTGTCAGTGGGAGGAATAGTGCCCCCATCATTGCTATCAGTGGGAGGAATAGTGCCCCATCATTGGTGTCAGTGGGAGGAATAGTGCCCCATCATTGGTGTCAGTAGGAGGAATAGTGCCCCATCATTGGTGTCAGTAGGAGGAATAGTGTCCCATCATTGGTGTCAGTGGGAGGAATAGTGCCCCATCATTGGTGTCAGTAGGAGGAATAGTGCCCCATCATTGGTGTCAGTGGGAGGAATAGTGCCCCATCATTGGTATCAGTGGGAGGAATAGTGCCCCATCATTGGTATCAGTGGGAGGAATAGTGCCCCATCATTGGTGTCAGTGGCAGGAATAGTGCCCCATCATTGGTGTCAGTGGGAGGAATAGGGCCCCATCATTGGTGTCAGTGGCAGGAATAGTGCCCCATCATTGGTGTCAGTGGAGGAATAGTATCCCATCATTGGTGTCAGTGGGAGGAATAGTGCCCCATCATTGGTGTCAGTGGCAGGAATAGTGCCCCATCATTGGTGTCAGTGGGAGGAATAGTGCCCCATCATTGGTGTCAGTGGGAGGAATAGTGCCCCATCATTGGTATCAGTGGGAGGAATAGTGCCCCATCATTGGTATCAGTGGGAGGAATAGTGCCCCATCATTGGTGTCAGTGGGAGGAATAGTGCCCCATCATTGGTGTCAGTGGGAGGAATAGTGCCCCATCATTGGTATCAGTGGGAGGAATAGTGCCCCATCATTGGTGTCAGTGGGAGGAATAGTGCCCCAAGGGCTAGATAAAGGCTTTAAAGGGCCACATAACCGAGTACTGACAATCGCCCCATAGGTGCTCAAGCACCTTGCATTGAATTAAAGATGACTATTCTCCCCCCAAAATACTGTTTCAACTATTTTTTCCATTCGTTTTTCATCTCAGTGCTGCTGATCTCCTCCAGCCATTTTCAGCTGCTTCCTATCTACATACACTTGTCTCCACAATGTGCTCCAGGCTGGCTTCCTGACAGTGACTATGGTGGGACATGCCAATGTGTGTCATCATAGCTGCTTGTGGTCTTCCGCCGGGGCTGTATGCGATTGGGTGACAACCAGGGGCGGACTGGCAACTCATGGGACCCCTCGGCAATAGGGGATCATGGGGCCCCTGCGTCCTTGCCCGCACTCAAACCACAGACAAAAAAGCCTATGAAAGGTACCAGGGGCATGTCATGGGGCCCCCTACTGACCCCGGGCCTTCGGCAGTGCCCGAACAGTCAGTCCGCCCCTGGTGACAACGCAGGAGCACAGTTGGGATTTGTTTGTCACCCCATAATAGGACCCCCAGGGATTATTATAATAAAAAAGCCACAGATTAAAAAAAGATTGAAAGCAACTTTCCATTGACATGGTAAAGTGTGGGTGAGGTTTTATGGATTGGGGTTTACATGTACGTTAATAAATAAACAAAAAACAAACACAAAAAAACATTACTATTATTATTATTATACAGGATTTCTATTATTATTATACAGGATTTCTATTATTATTATTATACAGGATTTCTATTATTATTACAGGATTTAAATATTATTTATTATTTTACAGGATTTCTATTATTATTTACCGGTGAAATATTATTATTATTATACAGGATTTATTATTATTATTATTATTTTACAGGATTTATATTATTATTATTATTATACAGGATTTATATTATTATTATTATTATTATACAGGATTATTATTATTATTATTATTATTATTACTATTATTATTATTATTATACAGGATTTCTATTATTATTACTATTACAGGATTATTATTATTAATATACAGGATATTATTATTATTAATAATTATTATTATTATTATTATTATTATTATACAGGATTTATATTATTATATTATTATTATTATACAGGATTTATATTATTATTATTATTACTATTATACAGGATTTAATATTTATATTATTATTATACAGGCTATTATTATTATTATTATACAGGATTCATATTATATTATTATTACTATTATTATTATTTTATATTATTATTTATTATTATTATACAGGATACAGGATTCATATTATTATTATTATTATTTATTATTATTATTTATTATTATTATTAATAATCAGGATTTATATTATTATAATACAGGATTTATATTATTATTATAATACAGGATTCATATTATTTATTATTATATTATTATTTTATTATTATTATTACTATATACAGGATTTATATTTTTATTTATTACATTATTATTATTATTATTTATTATTATTTATTATTATTATTATTATTATTAACAGGATTTTATATTATTATTATACAGGATTTATATTATTATTATACAGGATTCATATTATTATATTATTATTATTATTATTATTATTATTATTATTATTATTATTATTATAACAGGATTTATATTATTATTATACAGGATTTATATTATTATTATTATACAGGATTTATGGCGCCAACAGTTTGCTCAGTGCTTTACATTATTATTAATTAACGGGAGACAATACAGCATACAATACAGTTCAATACAAGAGGGTTAGGAGGGCCCTGATCCTGGGAGCTTTACAATCTAATGGGAACATGTACAATACAAAAAAAAAAAAACATTATGCAATTGTCTGAAAATCGGGTACATTCCAGCCATTTAAAGGGGCCACCCCTCCAAACTTGGGCTTGTCCCTGGAATCCGAGGAGCGGTGGCAGTAAAGCATTGCGCACGCCGCTGCTCGCCATAATGAAGAAGCCTCAGAGAATTGCCGAAGTAGCTTACAAAAGCACAAATCCAGGAGGATGAATCCTTGTGTGTGGAGAAAATACACAATGCGTGTCAATTCAGCAAAAAGTCAGGGAAAAAAAAAAAATATCCGAAGACTGCGTGAGCCCAAAATGCTGAAGAAACATTTTGAGGCAAATGATTAAAGCGGAACTCCAGGCAAAGAGACGAAATGCGTTTGCAGGAGCTGTTTTCCTTGCCAAAAGAGTCGTACATTTGGTGAGCCATCCAAAAGTTTGACCCCCCGGTTCACATCTGTGCGGGTGGTGCCTTTGCAGATCCG